AAATAATAAAAAATTGAGCCAAGGAACTTGGAAAGACGTGTCTTACTCATATTTGTACCTGGGGCATCGCCCTGGGCCAGGCACAGAAGCTGCTGTTTAAAGACTGTGGAATAGAAGAATGAATGATCCTTGTTAACCAACTTGCTTGGAGGAAAAACGCTAGTAAATCTATGAGCATTTAATGAGACTAATAAATTGATATAAAACTCTTAATTTGCACTGTATTAAAGGCTGGCACAGAAATATTCAGGTACAATTCCTGCTCTCCAAACACCTGATGAGACTATGGCTACAGAGAAGCCAGGCAACATGGTGCTGCCATGGGCAGCCAGAACTCCTGGGGAAACAAATCCTGGCCTTGCCACCATGCTGGCTGTGTGACTGTGGACCTGCTGCTCAATGCTTCTTGACTCCATTGTCCTCATATAGGAAATGACAGCATTGGACTAGATTTTTTAAAAGTACAGATACCTTACAGAAATATTAAATGGGATTCTAAATATTTATTTAAAAAAAGATAAAAGTGTAGCTTCTTTGGTCAGTTGAAATAAGCATGATGCTTGTGGGAGGCAGAACTGGGTCCCCATCAGCTTCCCCCTCTCTCCCCTCACTCATCAGTGGGGAACAAACCACCAGGGAGGCCCCTGAGGTGTCTCCCTGGACTCCTAGAGCTCCATGGAACCAGTTAGAAAACCAATGAACTAAAAACTTCTAAGGTCCCTCCAGTTTAACATTCCACGATTCTATCACTGGATTTCCTTTAAGGTTTTAAAATCAACATCAAGATACCTCCTATGCAAGTACTGTGTCTACATTATCCTACAAATTTTGTAGCAGTATCATCTTTCCTGTAACTATTTTCTAAACTATACAACTGTTGGCTTATCTTTTTTTTTTTTGAGACAGAGTCTCACTTTGTTGCCCAGGCTAGAGTGCCGTGGCGTCAGCCTAGCTCACAGCAACCTCCAACTCCTGGGCTCAAGCGATCCTCCTGCCTCAGCCTCCCGAGTAGCTGGGACTACAGGCATGCGCCACCATGTCTGGCTAATTTTTTCTATATATTTTTAGCTGTCCAATTAATTTCTTTCTATTTTTGGTAGAGACAGGGTCTCGCTCTTGTTCAGGCTGGTCTCGAACTCCTGAGCTCAAACAATCCGCCCGCCTCGGCCTGCCAGAGTGCTAGGATTACAGGCGTGAGCCACCGCGCCCGGCCTGTTGGCTTATCTTTTAAGAAACGCAGTTCCCTGCATTATCATTAATATTCTCTCTACAGCCTTTTATGGAGCCTTCATTACATGTAAGCACTACGATCAGCAAAGGAGGAGACAAGGGACAAATCTAGACAGGTACCATCTCCTTGAAGAGCTTACAGTCTAACGGCACATTACTGCAAATAACTGTGATGGGGAACAGAAACCGATGGTGTCGTCAGATAAAGTAAAGTGGATGCTTAAGGGCTGAGATGATTTCGGGTTGGTAAGATCAGGAAAGACTTCGAGGAATGGATGTGATATGAGCTGAGCTATAAAAAAGGATGGTAGGCTTTGAACACAGAAAGATTGCGGGGATTTAAGTTCCAAGAAGAGGTCACTTCATGAGTGTGGGCAAAAAAGCCGGAAGCCAAGGGACAAGCACAGGGAACTGCACCTAGAGGCAGCCTTGTTCAAACAGGGGCTGTGTGAAGACAGTAACAGGGAATAAAATGGAGTACTGGCACGATGTGCGAGGCCCAAGTGAAGCTTTACTGCACAGAAGAACTTTGTACAGGTTAAAGTAAAGGAGAAAGACCAGAGATAGAAGCTCTTGTTAGAAGGCAAAGAGCATGAATGCCTGGAAAACAAATTTAAAAAAGCAGGAATGGCAGCAGCAGGAGCAAAGAAGAAAGGCACTGCTTGGAGCCACTTCTGCAGCAGTAAAGCGGTGGCGTGGGAGGTGTCAACAATGACGCAGAGGCTAAAAGCCAGGTAAGCTGGAAAACGCTAGTGTCATTAACCGAAACAGAGAATACACCACAAAGTTTGCAGGGAGACAGTGGCACGAGAAGTACCCTGCAGGACAATGCAAACAGTGAATTGAAACTTTTGAGGAAGAGGACAGAGCTGTATACATATTTAGGAAGAATTTTTACAGAGATGGCAGATGAAGTTTTAAGAACAAAAGAGACTGCTGAGACAGATTATATTGAAAGAAGATAATTGTAAGTGTTGATCGTAGGGAGGCACCAACAAATAGATAGGAAGAAAATGAGTCAGAGAAAGAGTGGTTAGAGAGGTGCAAGGAGAACTGGGAGAACATGGTCTTGTATTATAAATAACTATACCCATGAGCACACGTTTATGAAGGAAAAAGCTTAGCTCCTGATCTAAAGGATCGCATAAATTGATATGTATCAGTGTTTTCTAAAGTGTGTTCTAAAGCAGTGGTCCTCAGTTTTTGGTACCAGGGACTGTTTTCATGGAAGATAATTTTTCCATGGATGGGGGTGG